CAAAGGATTCTGCTCGTCCAACCCACAAATGCCACCCCGAAGGAGGGGCCAGCAGGGTCGTTTAAAACGAACTGATTTTTAGTTTGCCAAGGGTTGAGAAACACTGCTCTAAAGTAAAAGCTAAGCCCAAATATAAGGACAATAGCAACTGAGTAGAATTTGGCAATATTCTGGCCATGATCAAGTGTAATGTCTGTTCTTAAAAACAACATTTCCCATTTTTAGCTCATTGAGGCTCATAATAGTCTCTCTCAGTGTTTCCTACTGGAAGTACCCCCTTAACATACTAATCTGAATGGACGAATACCATTTATTTTATTTGCCGTTGTCCCATACATTTGACAACATGAGGGGGATTTGAAGATCCAGACTGAAATACTCAAAAGGTGAGTTTACTTATTGCCTCTTAACTGAACTTAAGGGCATTTGGAATGAATTCCAAATCTGCCTTTCTTACAACATCTGAGAGTCGAGTAGATATATTACTGGCAGTGTTGTGGCGTATCTGAAAACTCAGCAAACAAGTCTTTCTTTTTTTTTAAGCACTTTAGAACCTCTCCGGAGCTTCTGGTTCATTTGTTCCTCCATTGGTAGATACTTTTAACCTGACCACTAGCTCCTTCTTCTCACCCAGGGCTGGCTTTTGGCTAAGGCCAAGTAGGCACTAGCCCAAGGCATCAAAGCTTAGAGGGCCCCAATTCACCCCTCCTCATGTCAGAAATAAAAACAAGAAACTGATTTTCCTCATATCCTTTCTTCTGAGATCTTGGAATCCTTTGAATCTCTGATCTTGACACCCTGGACCTCTGAATTTATTATTTATGCAACATATGTCAACAAAAGTAGCACGCATAGTTATTTCAGGATAAGTGAGATCTACAAAAACACATTGCAATATAATATGCTCCTGTTCATGGTTCTAGCCAACCAGCAATCCAGTAATGCCATTTTCCAGTATATTCCATTCCATTTCCCTCCCAATTTTGCCCCCCACCTTCCCATAGCTATTAGTTCGCATGTGAGTTATTTGTGGAAGTCCTTAACCCCCACTTAAAAAACAGTTTTCCCTTAACTTTTACAGACTTTGGGATTTTCCCAAAATGCTGGTGTCACTTTGTTTGAGGAGGTTGGGGGAGCTATAAGGATTCAGTAATGTCTTGTTATTAAGCTAACAACTGTCTTCTATCCTACTTCTTCATATCCAGCGACTAATGTTCATTAGAATCTACTTTCATCTTTCTGCTCCTGAAAGAGTGGAATAGGGGAATATTCCTATTTTGCCACTCATTACAAAGCAAAGCAGGAAACGGCTTATCTCACGTGGAAAACTAATACATTTAATAAAGCCTGTATCTGCTCAGCTACCGTCTATCTAATCTTTATTGGGGCAAAAGCCCTGGGTGTCTAGTGGCTACACTCTTGAAACACCTTCACAGTTATGGGATAACTAATTTGTAGTCATAAATACAGATTCTGTCCACATTAATTATTACAACATCACTGGAATGCAGCTCCTGTTTTACTCATTCTTCCCTGATATGCCTTATCTTGTCCCCAGGAAATTACTTGTGTAGCTTTATCCTACTGTTTGCCATATCGGAAAACCCCTCACAAAACACACGAGGTAGCAAAAACAGTCAGGATAAGGCATTGCTAGCCAACAACTCTTTCTAACTAAACAGCAAGAATTGGTTCTGCTAAGAATCGCTGCTAAGGAAAGGCTCAGAAACCTTTATATCATGACTCAGAAATCTTTATCTCATGACTGTAACCCTTCTTGTCAAACAATTCCTTTTCTATAGGTTGTAGTGACACCTAAGACAAGTATGTTATGCTAATGAGGTATAAATATGCTCCTCCACAGATAATCAAACCGTCAGAGATCCTGATCAACTGCAGATTGTAAAATGCCAACACCAGTTTGTGACACACCAATAATGCAAAATACAAGTTCACCTTTAGACCAGGGAAAAGGAAGAAAACAGATCCTAGAGATTATTTGGTTAGGCTGTAAAATTCGCTCCCTCCTCCCACCACTTGACGAGACTTTTACTTACCTGTGAGCAGCTGACAGAGTTCAGCGAAGTTGCAAGAGGAAAGCATGCAGAAAGCAAGTGAGTTAGAAACAACAGCAAGACAAATGACCGCATCTCAGGGATGATGGGGTAGCAAAGCAACGACTCTTCTTGTAACTCATTCCTGGCATGATAAAGACCCTGTGCCTTCCATCACACAACCTGCCTTTCTGCAGAACAAGTTTAAATCCTGCCTTGGTACAACATTTCCATGTTTCTTCCCTCCAAGGAATTGGTATCTTCACAGTGTTTCCGACCTTAGGAGCTGGGGCAGAGATAGGCTGAAGGGCAGGCTAAGGATCCCAGCTGACCAAGCAACCAAGAGTCTCTCCACAAGCAGCAGGAGCGAGAAGATGAGAAGAGCTGCCCATCAAGGAAGAGATTTCCCAGCTTGGTTTGCCAGATCTGACGTAGTCAATATCCTCCCTTTTTGCTATTACTACCAAGAGTGCGTCAAAGACCAAGAGGGCAGGGCAGGAACTGGAACTTTACCTGGAGGGAGATGTGCTAAAGAGCCTAGGCTGAATGCCAGTAATGAGAGCCTACAGGGTTTAGAAGAAGACAGGAAACAAAATTACAGCCAAGCTGAATTTGTACTTTTCCCAAATGCCACCTGAGCAAATCCAGGATGTTATCCCTTTAGAAAGTTTTCTGTTTTGAGCTGACAGAAAATGAAGCTTTCAGATATGGGTAGAACTGACTAGGTTCATGTGGCAGGTTCTTGTTTTTCTCATAGTTTACTGAACAACCCATAATGGTGGAGGTCCCACAACACACTAAGCCCACAAATAAAAGGAACTACATTATGACTTGAAACCTTCAAACTGGGACCTATCTTAGCTTAGGATGGGACCCAATTTTCATGAAATAGAGGAAAGATAAACATGCCATTTCATGCAGTTCATTGCTGTAACCATGAGTTTTAGGCATAGGAGGGGAAGGAAAGTTATATTCTCAAATCTGGTAAGTAACCTGCCGGCCTAGGGACCATTTGGTAACCCGAAGCACCCATTTTGTGAAAAACAGTAAGTACTTTATAAAAGACTGGAAACCTTTTATGGACTTTTTGCTGAAAATGGAAAACAAGTGAAATGATGATTTATGGACTTGATGATCGAAAAAGGTCTGAACAAGGGGCTGAAGGGATTTTTGTAATGTTAAAGAGGGAGGAGGGACAAAGAGTTTGTTTATAACTGCTGAAAAGGTTGGACTTAAATAAATAAATTAAAAGGTTTCTTTTGGTTTCTGTTTCTTTAGTTATCTTTCTATTTTCTACTGTGGTGTTTCCTGCACTATTTTTCCTCTATTTTTCCTTCTTTTTTTTATATAGTTTTACTTTATATTTGTCTTTGATCTATGTAAAAAATCTTTATAAAAATTATATAAAAAAAAACGAAAGCAGCCATTGTGTGAGAGGGTCATGACATGAACTCAACATTTCTAAGGTGTCCTTTAGAACCAGAAGGCCTGGCTTAAATTCAGCAGCAAGACTTATCCTGCGATCCTGTAGGACCTGGACTATACTTGTGGTCCTGGTCTTGCATAGTTGATCCAACCCTGACATTCTGAGAAAAGTGGAATGAAGCTGGTGGCTTCAGAAGAAGTAGTTTCATTATAAAATGTTGGAAGACTGATTCAACCCAAAACTGCCATAGTCACAGCACCTTTGCCTCATGTGTAACTGCACATCTGCTCTTGAAAGCAAGGTTGTGGGATTATCATATTTTTTCTTTTCTAAAGAACACTATTTTGTATGACGTACAACCCACGTATGGGTCCAGGAGGCAAAAGACTTGCGTATGGGTCCAGGAGGCCAGACTTGACTTGCGTATGGGTCCAGGAGGCAAAAGATCCTTAGGCATGAGCTAGTATTACTTAGAACATGACATTAATGACATGTGACCTTTCACTTTATATTAAATTCTAAAATTAAAAGTAATACAAAATTGTACGCTTTCTGCTCACAGGTAGCTTGATTTTTTAAAGAGTGAAGTTACAAAAGGCTATATTTCAGAATAGTAACCATAAACCCTGACAATAACTATAAAAGTCTATTACGTGTGGATACCAGTATGATATGCTATTATTTCTGAAAATTTACATATTGCAGGTATGTTTTAAATTGTGGCACAGTTAGCGTATTGTTAGTTCCCTAAGTTTCTTTTAAATTTTAGATTGAAGATAGTTTTCTAGTCTTCGTCCATAGAAAAAAAAAAAGTCAAAAACATACACTGTTTACTTAAACAGTAGATAACTCACATGGGATTTTCAGAAGTCAGAGCAGTACCACATATATTTTCACATTTAGCTATGATAAGTGCGACAGGCAACATATGTTGCCAAGAAGAGTACTCCCATTCAGTGCTCTAGCCAGCTAGCCGTGGTCTTTTCTAGGATACAACATTTGGTTTTGTCTGCCCTACAAGCTGGTCCAGAACAGGAAACGTACACTTATGAGCTACTAGAACTCTTTTGTTATCAGGTATAACAACAAAATATTAAAAGCCCGATAGCCTCTTTTTCCCTCTTATACCGAAGAGAGTCAATGCAGGACAATCCTGAGTTTCTTCCTCACCTGCTCCTGCCTTTCTGGGATAACCTCATGTTATTGCAATGGCTGCCGTGTACCTTCTTCAAGACTATCTCTGTACTCCTCCATAAGGTTCCCCACCTTACCTTCTTCCCCATGTATTCCTTTGCAGGAAATTATGCCTTCCATGCCCTCTGAGGGAGCATGATCTAAGGTTTTGGAGGGTTATTTCCCCCCAATTTTGGATATGTTTCCAAAACATGAACAACTTCTTCAAGTCACTAAAGTCTTCATCGTGTACTGGCAGCACCTGATGAGAAGTGGCTGAGACTATTGCGATTGTTATCATCACTGGAAAGGAAGCTAGAAGGTTAACCGAAAAAAATTAAGGAAAAATCCAGTAGCACCACAGTGAACAGGTTCAGGCAGGATCTTATTTTCCACCTATTTCTGATATTTTTTTTTATCCCCACTCTCGCTTCCATCTTCACCCTGATTTGGCTGTCGGTGTTTTGGAAACTGCAACTGCCTTGGACATAGGCCTCTCTAGGAATTTGTGAGATTTCAGAAAAAAGAAGTATTCATTAAGCCCCCAGCAGACCTGGTGGAAAATGTATTTCAACTATATGCATGATTTTAGAGCTAAATCTAAATTAAGTAACCCAAAAGTTACTTGATTACACAACCCCTTTGGGGAATTCCCATTACACCATCACACTTCCTCTCCCCCCCCAATGAGGCAGCAAAGCAATAACGAGAACAGGAATTTTTTGCTCCATTCTTCCATTGATACATTCCAAAATTTGTTTTTTTAAGAAAAGACAAAAAAGATGGAAGTTATTTGACTGTAAGAACTGGAACTCCTACAAGATTATTTGAATAAGATAAAACAATTACTCAATAAAGATCTTGACGTGAAGGCCACCATCACCTGAGACAATAGCTATTGATAGGGCAAGTTTTACCTTGAAGCAGTATGTTCCTATGTTCAACATTCATTGTTTTGTGTCATTTAAACTATGACATGGGAAAGGCATATAAGAAAAGCAAAAAACGTAAGCCCTGTGTGGTACACCATTGAATCTTTCCTATTTTGCAAATAATTTATATGTGAGTGTGAATTATTTGTGTGTGCGTGTAGATCTAGATGTAGATCTATGTAGATATAAATAGTAATAGACCCTGAGGTATACAATAGTATTTTAGATGGTATAGCCAACTGCCTGGAAGCCATTGGGATAGTTTTCCCCCCACCTGTTGTCCTCCAGATATGTTGGGTCTACATCAAAATTCCAAACCAGTGTGGTCAGCTCTGTATCTGTAAACACAATGTATCTGAAAGGCCACAAACTGAGTAAGGCTGCATTATGGAACGACACAGACAGCTGTGAGACTAGGCTGAAGCTGCCATAACCTAAAGATGAAGCAGGCACATAAGCAGAGAGGACAAAAGCCAGGAATCTTATCTATGAGATCCCTTCAGGGAGGTAGATAAGAAGGAAGCAAGTCTTAAGGAAAAAACAAAGAATCTGAACCAGA